GGGGGGGGGGGGGCTCAGAGAATTACATATTCTCTCACCATCATCACACGCTGTCAGCCTATATCAGGTGTGCTTACTGCACGAGAAGATGAATAAAACTACAATAAGTTGTAATTGGTGAGGGTGCTCTCCGCACACCTTTCAGCAGTCCCGGCCAGTAGAGATAAGGTGCTTGCAGTAACTCCCACGGATGGCACCGTGTAATGCACAAAGTAGAAAAAATAGGTTACCAGCACTCAGATTGATTTCAAATAGATAAGTCCTTTTTATTGGACATACGTGTCACAATAGTCAAACAGCCGACGTTTCGGGGCCACGCAGGGTCCCTTCCTCAGGGCAAAAGATGTGACGGTCACATCTTTTGCCCTGAGGAAGGGACCCTGCGTGGCCCTGAAACGTCGGCTGTTTGACTATTGTGACACGTATGTCCAATAAAAAGGACTTATCTATTTGAAATCAATCTGAGTGCTGGTAACCTATTTTTTCTAAAACTACAATAAAACATTTAATGTTTCTGTTACTTTAAGGGAGCCAAAACAAAGATAAGATATGTATCCCGGGCAGCAGAGAACAGCCTATAGATCTGTAAAGCTGGCCATACACTATTCAAAATACTAGAATTGCATGGAAATACAATTGCTATTGTATTCTAACAGCAGCAGATGTGCTGCAGTCAGAATATCCGAATAGTGACAAGAGGTGATGGGCTGTAGTCACCATTTGGAGAAGAATTTTCAGGCCGGATCCTTCGCCAAAAGTCGATTTACATTTTTTTAGAAAAAGGGAACCAACCCCCATAGGGATGTACTGCTTGGGAATCAATCAATCTTATTAAAATATAACAATTTATTAAATAGCAATACAAAACCATAAACACAAAAATAAATTATCTTATTTATAGTACATCCCTATGGGGGTTGGTTCTTCCTTTTTTTTCCGATATATTGTTTGGGTTTAATACCCCCTTGGGAATTGTTTTAGTAAGGTTGTTTAAGGATATCAGTTATTTTTGGGAGCTTTGACCATTTTGGTTTACCCTATATGGGGACCCCCTACCACATTTCTTTTTAAAAGAAATGTACTTTGATCAAATGGAGAGGTCTCAAGGGGGCCACGCACTGCTCAAATCTCGGCCGTGTCCTGCTGAAATATGAGTGACGCATGGCCAGCTTTAGGACCCTAATGATTATACAAACTGTCCATATTGCCTTTAAGCAGCTAATCGATTTTAAAACTGCACCGTGAAAGTGATAGAATCTCAAAGTGTGAATCTGACAGATAAAATCTCACATCCAGTGTGAATGAAACGTGTTTTCCGTGCCCAAGACAACCAGATTATCTCCACCATTGTCAGAAGTCACTTTGGGGAATATAGACATTTTTCCAACACCTTTTCCACAATGTAAGAGTAGAAATTGTGGAGAACGTTCTTTTACATACACTTCTAATTGTATTTTTAAATGATTATATGATAAATGCCTGCACACTTCTATACTGTCTGTTATGTCAGCATTGCCGTCATCACAATACACATTTGTGAAATAGACATCCAGTAGTAAGTAGATTCCTATCCAATGCTATCCAAAGGCTATCCCAGCAATGCTATCTCCAATGCTGGGAAAGCCTCATATTAGGAGCAGATCATATAAATATACCTGTTTATATCTAAGGTATCTTTACTATCAGAGATGGACGGAAAAGCTGCCTAAAGACATGTGTATACATTCCATGTGGTGGCTGGCCATACATGACCCAGCCCCAAAACATTCAATCTATCGTACAAAAATGCGAGTCTTCACTGGGTAAACCTGCATGATTTGGGGGGCTCGGTGGGCATTGGCTGTCCTGGACAGAAAAAATTATCTGCAAGGAAAATCTTCTCAACTTTCTCCCGAGGATTGCTTAAATCCAATACTACGCTAGGGGAATGATCACCTACCTTGGGGATAGCTGGCCGGTGGGGTGTTACCTGTGAAGGTCCCACCTTTACTTCCTACATTCCTCGGGAGTGAAAACCCTGAGGGGGCAGGAAGGCAGTACGGCGTTCACCCCAAATCTGTTTTCAGCACGGTTCCAGGAGCATGGGCTGGAAGTTTGACTCATTATTACACATGGGCTCTTTAACTTCCCGAGGAGGTTCTGCCAGGGAGCCTTGGTCAAGGTTGTGAAAATGACGAATCCAACCATAAACACTCAGGAAAAGTCTAATATCTGTAACCAACTCAAAGAACAGATAACCTTTGATGGATAATGAATAAGACTAGATTTTTTTCCCGAGAGATGGTGACCTTTAACTCACAAGCCTCAGCAAGTAAGGCTGGATACTCATGAACAACGTTGGTAAGTGAACATGCTGACAGCACACGTTTGAGCTGCACAGTAGGTCAGTACATACACGAGAGTTTGATGAGGCTTATTTTTAGGCCATTACTGGGATACATCCTGCAGAATTCTATGGCATAAGCATGTCTCAAACATGTAGAAAGTGGGTCACTGCTGCTTCAATATAATTTCCTGTTTCAGTTGGGATGGATTCCGATCACTTTCTTAAACTAATAAACCTACCTATACCATGGGGGCAAAGCAACAGATTTATGGAATTGCTTACCACCTCCCTCACCATACGTATACCATATGGCCACCTGGCCATCACAACTATATGAGCTTGCTGGAGATCCCATTCCAAATCATGGACATAAATATGGAGTTGGTGTTTTGTGGCTATGACAGCCTCCACTCTTTTAGGAAGGTTTTCCAAAGGATTTTGGAGTGCATATGTGGGAATGTAATCCCATACAGCCAAAATAGCATTTGTCAGGTCAGGTACTGATGGTGGATGAGAAGCCCTAGCTGCAATTGGGATTCCAATGTATCCAGAAGGTGTTCAGTAGGGTTGAGGTGAGGGTACTTGGTTGAGGGCTCTGTGCAGAGCACTCAAGTTCCCTCATACTCTACTCATCAAACCATGTCTTTATGGAGCTGGCTTTGTGCACCTGAACTCAGTAATTGGGAGGGGTGTTCACATGTTTTTGGCCATCCAGTGTACCTTCCAATTGCTCCTCCACTGCCTTGTTTGACTGCCAGAATGAACTGAAAAAGCCCTGTTTAAGCTGCAAGACGATCTGGTCAGAGCTTATACATGGATAAGGACTCTCTAGCCACTTGAACTTAACAAAGCTGGTGATTGACCACTAACTAAACCAGTGCTGCATCCTGAGAGTTTCAGCAGAGAGTGTCTGAACATACAAACCCAGACACAACTTATTATATAATTGTCAGGAATCCCTTGCACACCTGTGTTTTACTATTATTTACATGTCATCACTTCCATCACAGATCCATAAAACAATGGGATTCTTTTTTAAAGACAGTAGGTGGAGCCATGCAAAAAATTCCTTTGTGGCCCAATGCATTCAGTACCTCTGATTTATATCACAGAAACACTAAATAATTATTCAAAAAATGTCTGCACTCCCTGAATGACACATAAATCTACAGAAAGTAAGAAAAAATAGGCCAAAGGGTGCTAAAGTTTAACATAGAGGATTCATCGAAAGCACTAGCGCACCCCAAGATTGTTTCAATAGCTGTATTTTAAAGCAAACAATAATATTTAAAGATACGCATAAGCAAATCTGCAAGAAAGTCATCCCAAGATAGACATACAGTCTACAGACATATCACAAGCTATAAGTAAGTAATACAGTCAATAGTAGCAGCTGAGAGGTGCCAAGTCAATGAAAACAAATGAGGACACCCAGTACAGATGGAGGTGGAATAGGTGACAACTTTACAGGGTAAAAACCCCTTTATCATGTAAAGTTCCACCTATCAGAAGGTGGAACTTGACTTGGTGGTGACTTGACTTGGCATGTTGGTGGTGTACCAGATTCGCGTACGCTCAGTTTAGCGCGTGCAAAAATTAAGATAATTGTGCACTGGGATGATCCTAAATTTTCTTCTTTTCCTCTCCTTCCATTATTGCTGCACCTCGCTGGCCTTCCATACACCTCCCACTCTCCTCTCCTTTCTGCAGTGCGGATTGTCACTGTCGCCCCTCGTCATTACAATATTTACACCATTCTACTAATTGTGTATACTTTAGAACTGTTTTTAAATTATAACATTGGCGCAAGTGCTTTATTATGTTGGCACACACAATCAGACATTTATAGTAAGTAATATTGAACAGCACTTATAACATTGTTAATTTGGTGCACGGAAAATGAGCCAATATTTATACCACACAACTGATGAATTTCCCTATGTTGATCCCCTCTGTCTGTCTAGTCTTGTAGCTTGGCATGGCTCTCTGGTCAGATTTGTTTATGTATATCCATGAATAGTATTGTTGACTTGTGCAGCTATTAAAGCGCTCTTGTGGTGTGCTCCCTGATTGTTTTCATTATATCACACCATAAAACCATAAACATGGAGCCGTTTATTCAGCGTTCACACAGCTGTTTCAAGTTGGTTGCATTATGCTGTGTTGCAAGACATGAAAACAGCGCCTTGAATGAAGATGGGATTGCACAGAAAGGGCAGACTCTTTCTAATAAAATTCTCAATGAGATACAGGTCTGTTCATCTCAGCTCACCTGTGCATTCTGGATCTGGATTGCCCCCTGGGGAATTGCTTGAGTTACTACCTGTCCCTGGGATGTTACCATGGTAACGGGTTGGTAAAGTGCACCACCTGAAAAAGACAAAAGAAGAAATAATCAGGTGAGCTAAAGCTAATACAACATTTGCAAAATAAAACCAGCGTTACTACAGGTAAAGCAGACATAATATCTCTATACAGCTCAGTAACACATGTGCATAGGATCATCCCCGAATACTTGAATCGGAATTCTAAGACCTGTTGAAAGATACTCACCCCACCGCCAACTCGATTTAAAGAAGAAAGAAGTAAGGGGGCTGATACTGCAGTCATCTATTGGATAGAGCCAGTTGCCGTGCAGTCAAAGTCTTTTTGAGTCGCTGACCCAGAACAAGTAGATAAATCAGAAGTTCTGATTTCACAGCTTAAAAATAGCCAGTAATCAGCATGAAGAGACCACCAAGGGTATTCATTTCATGACAGGTTTCCTTTAAGGGCTTGTTCACACCACAAACAATGTGTTCTGGTGCGTTTAGCTGTTGGAACGCACTGTATCGCATAGTAAACATGTCCGGTCCAGTGCGATTCTTGAAAAATAGTGCATGCAGCATTTTTTCAGATTGCACTGGACTGGAATTGATGTGCCACGCGTTCTGGTGCGGGCGATCGCACTGCGGGCAGGGGCAAGGCTGCAGTGCCATTGACTTCAGTGCACCGCTACACCCCCTCCCGCCCCAGAACACAGGGGGAAGTTTATTATGCGATAAAGTGCGTTCCAGCAGCTAACTCCCCCCCTTCACTTTTCGCCCGGGGCCCGCGCCCCTGCTGCCCCCCCGGTTGTTATGCCACTGAGAGGAATGCAGCACCTCTGTATTGACCTATATTCCTGGAACCTTCATGGGAGGATATATGAAACACATACAACATGTCTGCTATTATCACACATGCATTGGAGAGATTTCCTATCCCTTCTTCCTATACTGAGAAGAAATCTCTCCAGCAGTGACAATGATAAGAACCTGTAAACCTTTCTCGCTCTATCATAAATAAAAAAATAAAGTTTTGGCCAGACTTTTACAAGAGTGTGCAGAATAGGGCTTATCCATATCTTAGATTGTAAGCTCCTAGAGGGTAGGGATTGATGTGAATGTGCAACTATGTAAAGTGCTGCGTACATTGTCAGCGCTATATAAATACCTGTAATAAATAAAAAAATTCATCAATAGAAATGTTTAGCATCAGATTATAGCAGTTTAGAGTAGGGCTGCACTAAGCTTGCTCCTGTGATGGACTACAATCTCAATACAAACTAGTAGTCCATCACTGGAGCCATTTTTAATTTTTTTTAATTGTTTATCCGATCAACCGATTAATCGAACTTAATAATCGGCTAACTAATCGATTTTGAAAATAATCGTTAGCTGCAGCTCTAGTTTAGAGTAATGGCAAAAATAAAGGATAATAAACAATTGGCTGCTAGGGGGTCACTGACAAAGGTTTCACCCACATCCGGTGGTGACTACCAATGCCTGCTGTTAGTTGCTGTTCCCCAGCCTTTGATGTACCACCACAGACTGATCTACAAGAGCTCTAATATAAAAGTTTAGGGTGTCCTGAAAACATATTAACACTGAAATGTACTGCATTTTTCTACAAGTGATAGTTGTCACCAGCTAAACACAACAGGTTCTTTCCAGAATAACCCCAAGCTGGGTTGTGTTGGAGAAATGATGAAGGTAACTGATCATGTGCCGCCAATGCTGTTGCATATGAGATGATGATATTCACTTTCTCCAGCAGGAAGCCGGGCTCTGTGATTCCCAGCAATACACACTGACAGGGTGCAGAGAGTTATTACAGAGTTAGGTGAATTATACAGGACATGACAAGACACACTGTATCGCTACCCCAGGGAGGTGTTGTGTTATCCGTCGTACCAAGCTGCACTGACTCAAGTCATAATCTAGTAGTCATTTCCCCCTGAACATGGTGAAATTAGCCAAGAAAAAAAAACACAGGGGTGGCTGAAAACAATTCAGGAGAATGAGGGGAGGTTATGGCTTCATAAGCTACTATTATGTAAACAGAGCGCGGGCTCTGAAGGGTTAAACTATCCCCCGAGGAGTGCAGACCTCTCTTTCATGAATAATACATGGGCATCAGCAGAGATTTGTAGCTTTATTGACATGCGGCATCCTCTCCTCTGGGAGCCCGGTACAATAAGAAGAGAAAACATTATATGAAGCTGACACCATCACTCACAGCGCTCAATAGATGAGGAAAGCATCAACCACAGCAGAGCAGGCTATGTTACTGAAAGGGGCCCATAGACTACAGAAATTACAAAGACCAACAGACTGCGTCACCCACAGGGGTCCGCAGACTCGGCCATCTACATGGGCCAACTGGCTGCCTCACCTTTAGAGGTCAACAGACTACATGGTTTATGCAAGTCCATACATTGTGTCACCTACGGGGTCTACAGATTGCAGCATCTACTGGGACCATAGACTACAGAAATTACAAAGACCAACAAACTGCGTCACCCACAGGGGTCCGCAGACTGGGCCGGCTTCATGGGCCAACAGACTGCTTCACTCTTAGACTTCCATGGACTTCATAGTTTATGCAAATCCATAGACTGCCTTACCTACAGGGCCCACAGACTACATCATCCAAAAGGGCTCACAGAATACACCATCAATATGAGCTCACAGAATGCTTCACCCACAGGGGCCCACAGACTACATCATCCAAAAGGGCTCACAGAATGCACCATCAATACGAACTCATAGAATGCTTCACCCACAGGGGCCCACAGACTACATCATTCAAAAGGGCTCACAGAATGCTTCACCCACAGGGGCCCACAGACTACATCATTTATAGAGGCAAATAGAATGCATCAATCATGGGGGCCCAAAGGCTTCATGATCCACAGAGAGCCACATAGTGGCCCATTGATAGCGTTCTAAAGCCTGTGCCACCCATGGCCAGCTATAATTTACACAAGACTTGGGTTTACATTAGGTCTCTTGGCTGGCTGGCAATGTTGAATGCTAGGACTTCTGTATTCTGCAATTTTACAGCTTGCCCTTCCAATGTACACCACTTTGCTAGTTACATAGATGACTGTGTACTTCAATTTTCTCATTTTGCTGTGGAAATGTACAGACAGACCACAAAAGTGTCTTCTTACTTCCAGGCAGTGTTTTCATCTTGCATGTGCCAGGCCTGGCCCCAGGGAATAATGATACTGTCCAACTGCAGCTCAGTACATGATCCCAGGACAATTAAAGGGTTAGTTCACCTTTAAAATAGCCTATGTAGTCAAGAAGCCCCAGCAGGTACCAATAAATGAACTTTTAGAAATCTTCAGTAACATATCTTTCATACCTATTTCCAGGACGAGCTAGCCGATGAACACTTGCCCCAGCATCACACAAGCTAGTGCCATCCTTGTTAAGAGCTCCATGCATATGCAGTGCGCTCTCACTCCTGTTGCTGTGGCTGAGCTGAGCGGCTGCGACAATAGGAGAGAGTGCACCATGCATGCGCAAGGCTCAACAAAGAGGGCGCTTGCCCCTATGAGGGCGAGCTTCCAATGGCTGACTCATCCTGGCAAAAGGACAGCATGGAGCTATGCACAATATTAGGAGATTTTCCAGCAGGCTTGGATGGGGGCACAAATAGCCTACAGGTATGAAAGATACATTACTGAAGATTTTTAAAAGCTGATTAGCTTCTTGACTGCATAGGCATTTAAAAAAAAAATGGGAACTAAAAGGTGATATGGCCAGGATCACTACATGCATAACTTTACAGAATATGTCAGGAAAGCTGCAGCTGTAGCACTGCCTGGGAGTGAATCTGAAGTCTGTCATTACATTTAAAGAGGCAAGGAAGAGGATTTTGTTTAAATCTGTGATTGGGAATGGGGCAACCTCCATGTAATCAGGCTCTTGATTTACTCATTGCTATATTAACTACTGTGCAGATCTGTTTTCTTTTTTCTGTCTAACACAGCTGAATACTGCGGAATGTTTTGTATTTTGCATTTGTAGTAAATTGGCTCTCCCACTGTGCTTGGCTAGTCATAAGCTAAATAAGCGGCTGGCTATTTTCTCCTCTCACATAAGAGAACCTTGGATACCTTTACAAAAGAGACAAGGCACTACAATAGTGAACAATCATATCATAATGGAATTTCAGGTACATTAGTATCATTGCATAGTTCATTTTATTTTGCAAAAGCCCTCAAAGAACCCATAAAACAGTGTCAGTCACAGCCACAAGGAGACGGTATTCAGAATTACCATAATAAATGAATAAATCACTATAATGTTACCAATTGATCCCAAGGTAGTTTAACAGGCATTGTTACACTTTAAAAAAAAAAAGTCCAACAATGATTGTGCCATATGATAAAATTACTTTCAAGTACTATCATGTTTTTTGGAACACCGAATCGTTCACAACCATGAACAAGATGATACATCTTCTGGAAAGAGTATTGGCTTACAGTAACCAATCAGATTGAAATGTTCATCCTTTGTCATTTATAAAGTATAGGTTTGGAATTTTATTGGCTGCTATTAGCCAGTAAAGACTATTGGAGGCAGTTTTTTCATTAACACCACGGTAAGGAAAGTCCTAAGTTTGCTTTCTATTTGTCTTGAACAGTTTCCAGTCAGCAGGTGCTTTGTTCATCCCCACCCCATTATTTCACCGCAGTGAAGCGAAAAACCTCTGTGTGTGCTCAAATGTGTTGTGCTTGCAGCTTACACTATATAGCAAAGAGTATACGGACATCCCAGCAAATGAGTTCAGGTGCGCTAAGCTAGCTCCATGGTTTGGCAAGGGTTGGTGTGGAGGAACTCAAGTTGCCTGCACATAACCCTGACCTCAACCCTACTGAATAGCTTTGGGATGAACTGGAACACCGATTGTGAGCCAGGTCCTTTCTTCCAGCATAAGTACCATTTTGTCCAAAAGGGCCCAAATTTCCATAAGCACACTCCTTTGGAAAGCCTTCTCAGAAGAGTGGAGAATGTAAGGTCTGCAAAGGGTGCCAACTCCAAATGAATGCCCATGGATTTGGAATGGGGGCTCTCCAACAAGCTCATAACAGTATGATGGTTAGGGGCCAACAAAATTTTTCGCCATATGCTGTATGTACACAGGACTACCCTTCTGTCCCCACATGACATAATTTGGGCCTGATGATTGGCCGTTCAGGAAACCAGTGCTGTATGGGAGTAAGAGTCATCCTTCCCTCATACCAGTATAAATCAAGTATTTCACTTTCTCTTCGCTGAGGAAACTTAGTAGTACTGGAGCAAATGGAAGGCAAGTATAAACAGTGGGGGCAAATCAGTGAACAGGCTCCTTTGTCCTGCATGAGCAAAGCATAGGTTGACCCTAAAATGCCATCTGGTTCAGGCTCCATAGATAACCATTTATATATATGAACACACCAATGCATGTACAATGCTCATCATAAAGGACACAGATCAGGTTGCATCCCGCCATACTCTGAGTCCTATAGGTACAGTCATTTCAGTTTGACATTGCCCCACCTGATACAACCTGCGAAGAGTTGACGGTTGTCATGGAGAGGCTGCTTTGCTGTAGTGAGGACGGCACAACTATTCCTTGCGGGTTGTTGGTCAGAGCAGACAGCGCGCTGGGAGAACTCTGTAACAGGTCCTAAAAATGACAAGAAAAAGTACATTTGCCCAACTGGTCTCCATGAAAAAACAAATAAAAGTGAATCTAGCAGGTGAGAAAAATTGTCATATAATGGAAGCAGAGGAAGAGGATGATGAGGAAGAGAGAAATAATGCAGAATCATTGAATAAAATGGAGGTATAATACAAAGGCATTGCCCTTAGCAAGCAACCAATGTTACATTTCCGAGGCACGTTACAGATTTATAAGCATCACTTCACTTCCTAATATTTTCCCTGCCATAGACTGTCTATCCAGTCCTGAGATTTACACGATTCTGCCACACAGCCCTGTCCTGTCCTGATTGTTCTCTGCTGCAGTAGTGTCTTGCCCGCAGCCTGCGCCTGGACAGTGAAACAAGAAGCAGCAAAATAATGAGCTTATCTTCCTGCCAGTACGTGAACACTGGAGCACACCTGACTGGCTCTATGTGCTGCTTCTCCTCATCCCTGCCTGGGCTCTGCTGTACAGGAACACTAACAAGTCAAATTTAGGTACTTACATGGCATGCATTTTAAAAATACATTATATGACGTATTAAGGATTACAGAGCTGTATTAATTAGACATGTAAGCTGCGGAAAAATTTGGTTCGGTTCAGATATTTAGTTATTTTGGGATTCAGATCCGAAATTCAATTTGGTTCGGTATTTTGGATTTGGACAAAACCCGAATTTTTTTAAGTTTTAGATGAGTTTACAGAAAACCATATACAAATATTAATACTAAAGCTGAGGCTCCCAAGACCCGAATGGCATTCAGGAACTCCCAAATGCAATTTGGAAATTCGGATCCCGAATGCCATTCGGGTCTAAAAGTCTCAGCTCCAGTATTGTATATATACATGAAAACTGAATCGGACATGTGACTTTTCTGTCCAATCAGACGTGTTTTTTGGATTAATGCATCCGAATGGGTCTGAACACGGATTTTCGTTACGGGAGCATGGGAGCCATATACAGTAGATACATATAATACTAAAGCTGAGGGTCCTAGACCCGAATGGCATTCGGGATCCGAATTTCCGATGTGCATTCGGGAGCTCCTGTATGCCATTCGGGTCTTGGAGCCTCAGCTTTAGTAATGTATTTATATGGCTCCCAGACTCGAGTAGCATTCAGTATACTGTATATGGCTCCCATGTTGCCGTAGCGAAAATTCGTGTTCAGACCCATTTGGATGCATTATACCTATAAACACATCTAGTTGGCCAGAAAAGTCACATGTCCGATTTGGTTTCGTTTTTAAACCAAATTCGGACAGGATCTGAAATTCGGAAACGGAAATTTGGATTCAGACACATTCGGATTCGGAAATTCGGATGTGTCCTAATGTCCGAATATCGGAAAATTCGTCCGAATTTTGATTCGGAGCGAAACGAATCGCACATGTCTAGCATTCATTATACTGAAAGGGTTCAGGTTTACCAGCGCTACATTGTTTCTTATTACAGCACCGATAGAGAATATAGTAAAGATGGAATCCAACACTTGGCACTCAGTTTGAAAACTCTGCAAAAAGTAGGATAAACGTGGCTTTGTGCTACAGGCTCATGACTACGAGCCCTTATAACTACACCTTACGATGGAAGGTGAGGAGCAGACCACAGACTTATTCCTAAAATATATCAATTACGGTATTCATAACATTGTACTATATACAGTAATTATGTATAGTAAAAAAAAAAATGGAGTTCTATGTCGAGCGGGGCAGAATAAAAAAACGGAATGGAAATGTTCCTGCAGGAAAGGGTGGACGTCCACTTCCAGCTCTGTACTATTCATTACCATCATAATATATTTATTTTCTGCCGGGATCTGAGGTGGTTTAAATCCTCATTACGTTTCCTGACCAATGCATTCTAATTAGATCAACATTTAAAAAAAAATAAAAATCTATTCACAACAGCCACAGGACAGCTTTACATCTCATTAACTTCTCACTTCCTATTTTCAGCAGAATTACTGATAAAAATGTGCATCTCCATTTTCCCGAGCGCGCAGCCCCACCGCTTCATATCTAACATCTCTCTTGTCGCCCGGGATGCAAGTTGTTGCCATGGCAACCTGCAATAATAGAAGCTAATAAATTACAAACGAGATGCTCGTTGAGCAATTATTGTCGTCCTTTATGCAAGTTTCTTGCTAATTTTGCTCATAAGGGAAAGCGCAATAAGCAGAGACGGCGTAAGAAGTCTCTTTTTCCAGAGGATATTAGCAAACAAGAGCAAGAAAAAACCCTCTCTCCCTACTTTTAAAATCAGTGATTAAGTGGTCCTGTTATTTCAGGATGTCTAAATTAGATTTTTTTTTTTCCGTGCCATTATTTATTTGTATTTTTGAGGCGATCCTGGGAGGAAAGGGAAAAATGAAAGAAAATTGCTCATAATGAATATATCTTTTCATGTAGAGCGCATCAAATATTCCTGATATCATCTCCAGTGCCAGCGCATGCAATATTTAAATATTCTCTGCAACCCATAAAAACGCACAACACAAAAGGCTGCTGGATTTGTTACTGCTGATCGGGGGAAAGATAATCGGGGTTATTGTTGTAACACTGTGCGAAAGCATGACTGGCCAGTCCGTGTAGGTTTGTCCACCATGCGGAGATGTGTAATAATGGCTAGGCCTCACTTTTAAATGGCGATACATCCAAAATTGGAAAATAAATTGGAAATAAGTCGCTGGCTAATTCCCCATTCAGACCTACGTGACAATGCCCAGCGTCCATAGGCCCATTGTTTTAAATTTGAGCATGTTCACATCTGAACAGCTACAGTTGCTTGTAGCTTAAAGTTTGTTGTGGAAGAAGTACTTCCATTTTTGGCTCCATGGACTTCAACTGGCCTGCCTGTCAACGTGTTTTTGCACCTAAAGAACTGCTCTCCTCCCCCTAGCAAGCCCAGCCAACAAAACGCCTGAAGCTTGAATATACATAAAAAATGCACCTTTACGCTCTCAAAATCGCTCAGTTCAGGTGTGAATGCCGGCTAAAAGTATCCTTATTGGGTCAAAAATTTTGATACCTTGTGCAACTCTGCACCCCATTCTTGTTATTTTTTATATCAACTTTCGGACTAAAGGTGGCCATACACTGTACAACCATCGCAAGACCTTAGTCTTGCGATGGTTGTAAAGTGATTAAAAAAACGTACGATCTGCCCATCTTGGACAGGCAGCTCGTACTCTCGATCATCTCAAGCCCGCCCCCCTGAGGGGCGGGCTTCCGATGACCGCAATGCTGAACGGGCAGTGTGCGCGTGCGCACACCCCGCCCGTTCGGCATTTGTCTCCCGAGCACTGTTCAAACCAGCCGAAAATCGTACGATTTTCTAGCGTGCTCCTTAGACAAATGACGTGCGACCGTACAGTAGAAACGGTCGCACGTCTTCGTTCACACTGCTCGATTCTCGTACGATCGCGGGATTTCCCGCGATTCTCGTACGAGAATCGAGCAGTGTATGGGCACCTTAAGAGAGCTGGAAACGTATCTGTTGGCCACATCCCTCTGTGGGAACACTAGACAGAAAAAGTATACTGAAGGGAAAATGCTCTTCTTGCCCATGGCTAACAATCAAGTTCTTTGATTCTTTTTTTTTAACCAGCACAGCAAAAAGGATAGTTGGAAGCATGTTGTTTGCTGTGGAGGAACAAGAACACTACTCTTGGAAGGATTTTCACACACAAGGCCTAAAGTCAGGTGCACATAGGGAGATACTGACCCTGATTATACTATCACCTACTTTTCAGTTCTGCTAAATTGCAATAATAAGTGTCAGCACTGTTTCTTTTGCCATACACGTCAATGGGAATGCAAAAGTAGCTTGAAGCAGATTGATGCAGCTTAGAAGTTGGACAAATGCAGGTCAGAAGGAAGTCAACTGTACCAGTGAAGGCATGCCTAATGATCTCCGAAATGTCTCAAACTGTACTCAATGCAAGCTGAATGTGACTAAATGTATACTGCATTTCCCATCAACAAAACCACTTATGTGGCCTCGTACATACCTCCCAACTGTCCTTCATTTGGAAAGACTACCTCTCTTTTGGAACCAAACCCTTCTGTCCCTCTTTCCTCCTCAATTGTCCCTCTTTTTGGTCTAATGTACAGATATTTATGAAAATGTTCTATTTAATTACCAAAACTGTTATTCTGCACAAAATCCTTCATCCTACCTCTTAATTATCTTGTTTGATTTTGTAATAAGCCATTTTAAAGGAAAAGTGATGGTGGAAAAAAATAATTATGGATTTAACCAATTATTTTGGCATATAAATTCAAAATGGTTCGAAAATTGGGGGTGTGCCCATTGCGTTAATACATTGAGCTAGATGGCATCCCTCTTTCTCATCTCAGAAAGTTGAGAGGTATGGTCTCATAATTTGAGACAAATATATGAAACTGCCTCAAGGCACACTAGAATGTGCTCTGCGCTATGGGCGGTTGAGTTCATGGTGGCTGCTGTTTGCGCCCCTTAATCGTTTATTGTTAGGTATGTTCTGCATTGTTTCTGATGAGTCCTGATTTGGAGTCTCTGTGGCCTTCAGCTCAATGCTCATACAGAAAGTATCTGATCTATTCTGCTAGGGTTGCACAGATACCAAGTACGGTACTCGGTACAAGTACGAGTACATGTACCGATACTTTTGAGCTCCAAGACTACACTAGAGAAAAATTAAAAAATTAGGAGGCAGCTGTCATTTGTAAGGAGCACACGGAGCTCCTGGGATTTGTACATCTCTGTTTTAATGTACGATTTTGGTTTTATAAATATAAATAAAGGGATGCACAGATACCAGTTTTGCGAGTACGAGTACTGGTACTTGCCGAGTACTTACAAGTACGAGTACTGATACATTTTTGTTTATTGTCATGTGACAGATTTTCTAAAACAATATCGACTAATGATTTCAAGACAGTGGTGGAGCACCAGAGCCAGGTCCCAGCTGCAACCGCTGCAACCCTGGTAGTACTCATGAAAATGCCAAGTATCGGCACTGGTACTCGATAAGTATCTGTGCATCCCTATATTCTGCTATACATGAGGAAATGAGCACTCCTTGTTGTCTGACCTGTGCGTGAAGGCTGTTGGATGCCTGGTTTGGGGAATAGGGTCCTCCCAAGTCGTTCCTGAGGAGATTATCGCTGTGCATTTTGGTTTTTAGGCAGGTGATGTAGCGGTTGCAGAAATCCTTGCACAATTCATTCACCTTTTCCAGTTCTAGCAGGTGGATTCTCAGCACTTGGATCGCCTTCACCATCTGGAAGAAAGACAAATTCATTCATGACAACATCATGTGTCATTACATGCCCGTCAGACTATCAGAGGAGAACGACCATTATCGATGCTTCATTTAAAATATGTTAAATAACGTCATGTACTTTATGTGAAATAATAGAAAAAATACAATGAGGTTTTACCCGACAATTATGACATTACAAAGGAGCACTCCAATCAGAAATGGAAATTTTGCATTTAATCCGCAGGACACACCCTATCATTCAATGAGGGGAATTTATCAAAACTGGAGCAGACAAAATCTGGAGCAGCTGTGCACGGCAACCAATCAGCTTATCTCTTTCATTTTCAAATCTTAACTCGACAGACTGAAGAGAGAAGCTGATTGGTTGCCCTGGGCAACTGCTCCAGATTTTATCTGCTCCAGTTTTGATAAATTCCCTCCATTGTGTTTATCTTGCTGTCTCTCCTTTAGTCCTTACATATGATAGTATTTTAGTCTTATAAATAGCCCTAAATCTCAGCCTGGATGTGTATTGTAGGAGCGCTGGACCCCTTGAGTGGATGAGGATAAGATTCCTGAAATTTGCAGGCGGCTCTCTGTCAACAAGAGTATCTCAAGGAGTCCACAGAAACGCGTGTAGAGTACTGGAAAAATGAATAGGGTGATTATGGGAAATTAAGTTAATGTAATCCCAGCATAGCTTGCCTGTCTGTCCTATTACCTGTCCAGTATTATCGTGCATCATTGCCAGCATATAAAAGCCCTGATGACGGGGGGATCTGTGATCCCTGAAACACGTTGACTTTTTAACTTTACATCACATCCAATAATAATAATAAAAAAATACTGGACTGAATTAATCACTGTGGTGCTTTTCCAATACTGGACATATTCGTGGCAGAGTGTTCCCTGGTTTGTGTTGATGCAAATAAGGACTTCTGTCCTTCCTGATTTGACCTCCTAATCACCTGATTTCAAGAGCTATTCACCTGCTGTTCATCAGGCATGCATGATACCCAACTATGAAATATGACCCTAATATCACATGGAAGACCTGCAGCATGCAATGTGCCCCTTTGAGCATCATTTGACATCTGCAAAGACCCAGAATAATATAAAACGTCTTAGTGTAATAACACATTACCAGCCCTGGATTTTCATTCCCGGAGACTGCAGGCACACAGGTTGTGGGCCTATTTTTAGTACAACCCCACTTATTTAGCACAAGACATTTGTTTGGGTGACATTGTATAAATAAAGATATACAAGATGACTATTCCTGCCAATGTTGAAAACAAAATTATAATATATATACAGTATATATATACACAGTATATTTATCCAGAATCTATCAAACCCCGTGGATGCTGGATATATATAAAATTATTTAGGGAAAGCCACTTTTTCAGCTGTGCTGCCTATAGGCATGTTCCTACTGTGTCTAATTGTAAATCCAACCCTGCTCATCACAGCAGAAACAGTGAAAAATACTGTACATTTAAGTGATGCAAAAGGATGCATAAATGTACTCAAATCCTACTGGCATACTGCATACATCATGTGGTTTTAGTAGCAAGAAGCATCGACAAATCAAATTTAGCTGATAACACCAAGGTAAGCCTTCTAAAGCCTTGTTCATACAGAAGTTAAATGTGGCACTCAGTGTGTGTTTCTTATTTCTACCAAATGCCCTCTAGTGCACGGCTAAGTTAGTGGCTTAAGTTTTCTCTACTGCAGTTAGAGCAACACAGCTAGGTCACCTGCCTGCCCGTAGCCTGTGTTTGATCCAATGAGGAACAGCAGCTGACTGATATGCTCATCTTGCTGCTCTCTCGTCTTACCAGTAGGCTCTTTGTCATCCTATGGGCATGTAGAACACATGATTAGTCTCTAGCGTTAAAGGAGAACTATGAGGGGAGTGCTTTTCACTCACCTCATAGTTCTAGCCGACATGTGACAATGAGACTGTCACAGGTCGGCTCAGTAGATCGGGAAGTGAGCCAACACATACCGGTGTTCGCTTACTTCTCGATCCTGTCACGGCTCTCTGCCGTGACAGGCGAGGGGCTGGATTCCCCCTCTCCCCGCTCCGACAGGCGGAACGGACGGGGGAGGGGGCGGGTACAGCTGGCTCTGCCCCTAGATAGGCAGAGCCAGCTGTCACTCACGCAGCTGGGCGGAACCCGTAATCTAAGTCGGGATCCGCTCCGGCTGCGGCGTCTCAGTATACCGCGAGCTTTAGCTCGAGTATACTGAGCTTAGAGTGACGGGAGGACGCTAGTTTGTGTCCTCCCGTTACCCTAAGGAGAACTATGGGAAAAAGCCCTGACCCCATAGTTCTCCTTTAACCCTACCGTTCTCATTCGGAATTCTACTAAGTAATTACAAGAGGCTGATGGTAAGCCAAATTCAGGTCTTTACACTAGATATGTTTAAATGCTTTGAATGATCTTTTAAATGCATACATAACAATATTTACATTATTTTAGGTGCCCAGAGTTCAGAGTTAAAGTTGAACTACAGTCAGGAGTAATAATGCTCCCGTGTAAAAGCATTCATATGCAACGGATGAATCTATTAAAAAACATTGAATATATCCCCTCAATATTGTGCTCCAGGGGACTAACTTTCCCCAGAATCCAGTTCACTCTCTTGGAGCGCGGGTAACTGGTCTAGTCACTGCCCCTCTGTAGCTTTTGTAGAACAGAGTTGCCGTGATTATGACGTCGCTGCTTGCAATGAGAAGACCCAGTCTGGAGAGATGCTGCATTTGTGTGATGTTGTTTTCTTGGTACTTTCCTATGGTATGCATAAAGCTCCTCTCTCATTCCATCCAACCAACCAATGGACTTAATGGAGAAGGAACTCGGGTGAAACAGTATTATGACATCTCAACTCTGATAATTTGGGATGCAGCTGGCAGCGCAAACTGTCTGAGTTGTAATTACAAACTGCGAGCCCATTCACATGGAAAACACAAGCCTTGTGCTTTCCGTATTTTCACAACTGCGGCAAGGCCCCAGGGTCTTTCCATGCCTGCAGCACTTGATTGACAGGTTATGCAGATGTAATTCCATCTATTTTATCTAACCCAATGGTGTGTGGCTATGTGGGTGGAGGCAGAAACGTAAAGAAGAACCCTTGCCCACCACTATCGCTAATGTCCCGACAGTTTGAGGTGTGCCTAACATCCAGAAGATGTGACGTTGGGTGCCTCGGGATCCTGCCTCCCTGATGCCAGACATAGCTGTTGCATGAGTATAAAAGAAATGACTATGTTGAAGCTTCATCTAAAACCAATTTCTCAGAAGATGAGTAAGTTACTTTTTACTGTTTTTATTGTGCATGGGGAAGTGAACGTTAAAGCTGAACTGCAACCTCCTATCCCTTAAAGCCAAGGAAGGTGCATCTTAGCCTCTTTTGCACATGTGATCAGCTATGACACCATCCATTTGAGGGCTTAAAAGTTCGGTTGAGAGCTGAAATAAGCACACTGGCAACCTGACTGTTGGCATGCCTTAAAAGTAACTGTTTTGGAAGACATTTCATTGGTGGGTAATGTTCCTCATGAAGGAAAAAACTGAGAGAAGCTTCCAACTTACTCCTGAGCAGATGGAGCTACTAGAAGAGGATATTCAGGAAAGCAAGAGCTCAGAGTCAACGCCGAAAGACAATACAGACCATGTTGCTTTCGGTGCAATAGGGCAAATATCAAATTGTTTAAATACACTTTTAGGCCTGGGTGTCAGGAAGCTCTGGGACTAATGGACTTGTGATACCATCATTATTTCTGATCTGGGACTTGATTTTCAATGGACTGATAAGTACAGGTTCCCCTAGTAGAACATCCGGCAATGGTACATATCTGAATGTGTAAACGACAAAAGGAAGGTTTTGTTGGAGATCACGGCGCCGCTGTACGTTTCTATTTAGAGCGGAAATTCTGTGTAAAGGTTTGCAGACAGAAAGAGGCAGCTATGGGGTACAGGCAGGCCGGGTGACATAAATCTCTCAATTAGCTCAGATCATTTGTTCAGCTCCCATTTACGTCCCTGCCTGGCCGAGCAGTATATCTGTCCCCCTGAAGAGTTACAGGCCACGGAAAGACGTGCACAGGATTGTAAAAAACACAGATGCTGAATTAATTGACTGCGTGGCACTCTGCGGCTGATTGAGTTGATAATGGCAAGATCTGACCTTTTTCTATTTTCTAATTATGTGCATCTCGGCTGCGAGGAATACATGATTTCTCTTCTAATGATGGCTAATGTCGCTGGCCTTTTCATCATCTTTACGCCAGAACAATTTCTCAGGATTTACATGGCAGCAGAAGAGCTGGAACATAAGGCGGAGACATGAATTTAGTATACCGCAGAGCTGGAGCCGTTTCCGGTTAGTTAACGTCCTGGTCATAACGTCCACCGCGAGCGGTCAGAGTGTAACAGAGAAGATAATGCTGCGGCGAGGAGCTCTCCGACAACAGATGTCTCAGGGCTTCCCAAGAAGGAAAAACTTTTTACACATGTGCATTCTCAGGCTTTCTGTTTGCTTACTTTTTGTGCACTGACCTTCCATGTGCACCTTTTTTTTTGCTGGTTCTAAATAATGAATCAATTGACATTTATTCAGTGCTATGCATCCACAAGACAGCCCACTTGTGCTAATCTGGGCCTAGCAAAGGAACTCCAGGCAAACAGCTAATTAACAAGATTGAATACAAACATAATAAATATTTTAACTGTCAAAAGATTTGTAATTCTCTTGAGCCGTTCTTATGATTCACACAACCCTACCACACTGTACAGTCAGGCAACTGACACACTTACTTCCTAATTAATGCGGACCTTCAGTCCCCTAATTCACAACCTTCTGCCCTCCTTTCCCCCCATGAAGGTAATTTTTTCCCCTTTTGTTTACTTTTCTTGGCTCTGGTCTGACCCCTTTACCCCCCACTGCCATTCACACCCAGGCCTGAATAACGTGTCCCTGCTCTCGCAGCTTCCTGGGATATCCCTGTCATATATCTCAAGAGGCTTCAGGAACAGAGATATCGAATGGTAGGAGGACCTAATGCTCATCCCTGGCAGCCTGAACCCGGGAGAAGAAACCATGCTCCCGATGACTGAGGAGGACCAAGGTGGCAGCACAGGACCCAGGTCGTGGCAGCAGAGCAATGGATTGCATGCAGGGTAATGCCGGATTCGCTGGGGTGGTGTGCACGTAAATTGAGGACAACCCTACCTAACAGATGAGAGGTGTTAAAAAAAGCAAAGCTTGAGTTTTGACAGTTGAGTAGCACTCTCAGTCAAGCTCAGAAGACTAAAGTGAATGAAACAAACATGCAGAGAAAGAAGAGAAAGGAGAGCGTCAGCAGGACAACTAGGCTCCTAGCATCTTCAGAAGGGGGAGGGGGGGGGGGGGAGCAATGGTGGGCTCCATGTTCCTCCTGTGACTGGTTTGCTTTAAGAGCTAAAAGAGAAAGGTGGGGTATCGTATGGTGGGTACAGCCCCCTCCTCTATAGTCATCTCAGAAATGGCTGCGGCTCCTGAATATAGGAAACCTCTGAAAAAGAGACATTTCATCATAGTTCCGGAGACATTTGCAGGATCACTGATTAGGCAGGTAGTAAAACACAGTTACTAGAGCGTGTACGCGGGCTCATTGAGATTTGTAATCCGGCCTGCCCTCTAGACTTAGAATTACTGTATGATTTGCTAAAAGCTAGCAGTAAACATTTAGGTAATAAATCATATCTCCGCTGCTGACTACCATCTCTGAGTGGGAAGCAGATCTTCTCTGGAATAAGGAGGTACATTTTCTGGACAGAAAAAGGTGCCAGTTAACTCCTTCCTAGACAGACTCCAATAGGCCTTCACGCTGAAATCTGGGTAATACAAATATTGTTTAAATACAAGAGCCATGAGTATTCCTACCTTGGTGTCATTTGCCTGTTTCTTACAGGAAGTAGACCAGCATGAAACAACTCATTCACTTTGTCTCTGTGCAGGAGCTTCCTGTAATAAGGACTGCTCACTGCTGCTCTCTCTCCTAGTGCAGGGTGACTGGTCATGTCTCTTCCCCCCTCCTGTAATAAAGACTGGCCACTGCTGCTCACTGTACTTGTGCAGGGTGACTGGTCTTGTCTCTACCCTCTCCTGTAATAAAGACCGGTCACTGCTGCTCTCTCTCCTTGTGCAGGGTGACTGGTCTTGTCTCCCCGCCCCTCCTGTAGTTTTCTGCAGGTAGCCTGTAGTGGGTGGAGCCTGCTGGGTCACTCCCACAGCTCTTCTACAAAGTAAAACCTGTGTTTGCAAAGGCATTTGATGCACATCAAAGTGGATGGATTTATACCTGTGTTGCTATTGAGTAATAGATTAAAATAAAAATTTTTGTTCCTGGAGATCAGCAATAATCTCTGTCAAATTTTCTTCACTGTCCGCTGGGATTTCCTTTCACTTCCTGTCCTAGTGACAACTATCATTGGGACGGAAGGAAGAGAAAATTGCCTAATGGGGACAGAAAATGAAACCCAACAGAGATTGTGACTTTTCCCAGCTCTGCAAGAGTTTTCACTGCTTCCTGATGGAGAGATTTACCCAAACTGCTTCTCCCGCTGACATGACAGGAAGTCACGTCAGTGGTAGAACAAAGGCAACATCCCTAAAAATCCCTATCGAAAAAAGTTTTGGCTGGAACTCCACTTTAAACATGGAAGGTGCTTATGTCTCATATTAAAAAAAAAACTATCCTGTTTAGCCTCTGAGCTACTATTTTATAAATGAATGAAAGGAAAGATTCAATATTTAGATCAGTAAATGTAGAAGGATTAAAGATGTCTATGCCCTATATGGGCCATGTTATCTGCCCTCACATTCTGAAATAGTTAAAAAGATTGGACAGTGAAATAAAAATAAATAATAAAGAACAAATAAATAAAGAAACAAATATATATATATATAACGTCTCTGTCCCTTTGTACTAAATGGTGAATGATTGCTCACAATCCTCACAATTAATCCAGTGATTGACCCATCCTTTGCTGGATGACTCTATAGAAGGTTTCAGTCAGACAAAGAGAACCTGAAGGCAGATCAGCTACTGCTGTGCTGTCTCTTTAGGCAACTCATAGTACTCTGGCAATCCATTGTCATGTACTAAATGTTAGTTTGTAAAAAGATTGTATTTTGCAAAAGATTGTATACATGTATTTAAAAAAAGATTCAACAGATCAGTTGTAAAACTTACAAAGTTACAAAACAAAAAACAAGTTGCCCTTGGGGTTAGTTCACACCATAGGGCAGTGCGTTCCGGTCAGGAAGCGGACCGGAACGTACTGCCCACAATGTGCCTAGCGATCTCGTGCGGTGGCCGCATAGCGGCCGCAGGGCGTGGCTACGGTGCCATTCACTTCAATGGCCCGCCATGCCCCCTCCAGCCCGGCAAAAAAGTGAGCCGACGACAATGCGGGCAGTGCGTTCCGGTCCGATTCTGACCGGAACGCACTGCCCTATGGTGTAAACGAACCCTTATAGTCGCCCTTTGGTTAACACTTCTAAAGCTCGTTGAAGGGAATTTATCAAAACTGGAGCAGACGGAATCTGGAGCAGCTGTGCACGACAACCAATCATCTTCTCTCTTTCGTTTTTAAATCTTAACTGAACAAACTGAAGAGAAAAGCTGATTGGTTGCCATGCACATCTGCTCCAGATTTTGTCTGCTCCAGTTTTGATAAATCCCCCCCATTGTGGTTACATATCTGGCACTCTATCACCGTTCAAACTGCTTTAGTTTTTTTACTTCCTAATAAGAGCGGTTTGCGTTGAGTTTTTAAAGGCTGATGAGGCTGATGGCACAAAATACTTTTCTTCCTCCGATGTGCTGATAAACCAACTTTTTCTTTTTTCATTATTTGGAGATTTCACCCTCTTTCCCCTTGTTATGATTCCCTTGATAATAAATAGATTCTCTGCCCTTTAAAATGCAATCCCACTAAAAATGAAGGTGGCGAAGCTCCTGAAAGAGAAGTCATGGCCATTAACATTTAGCCAAACAACAAATAAAAACTAGTGACCGCGGAATGGCTCTGACTTGTGAAGAAGGAAAGTTCAATTAAAAGGAAATCATTTGGAAGTCTTGCTGTAAGTTTATGGCGGAGTGCGGACACAACAATACATCATCGGTGGAGTAATCACCGCAATCCGTCAGCACAAGTAATCACTGCTATCGGATGTGACGAGGGCAGTTTCTGTATTAAACCTGAAATTTCAATTTCCTCTTGTCCTTTATGAACCAGTCAGGGAATGTTTAAAGACATTTGGTGGGACTTCCCTAAAGTAAAAATATTTTGGACATAGATCCTTCAAATTACCTACTAAGTAGAAAGAACTCCTAAATATAAAAATGAGTATTGGCAGTTGACCCAATATAGCAGGGGGCACACATCCTACACATCCCATCATGTCACTGCCTCTGGGAGTCATGCCTGTGGCTATAAGTTGTGCAATGCCTAATGAGATTTGTAGTTTCACCAAGCTTAGCTACCTCTGCACTATAGGAAATGCATGGAAAATGACTTATCTTAAAGTGCCACCAAACCCAGGAACAAAAATGTAATACATTGCAGCTTTCGGTGGCCGCATTCGATTTCCTTTTTTTAATTTATTTTTAGGCTTTTTACCCAATGATCCAATGAACCTGTCCTAGGATCTCACTCATTGTATTGTATCTATGGAGGAGTAGTGTTGTCACCCTAGGACTGGACTACAGACCACCTCCCCCTCTTCTTATATCCTCGACATAGGTGGGAACTGTTCTGTAAAGCTAACCTGGGCGGCAAGATAAGGCAACGCTGAAAAGTGCACAGGACAATGGAGAGCAGTGGATGTCTGGCAGGGATGTTTTTACACTTATTGCACAGATACAATGTAACAAAACACTTTCAAGCGAATATTTAAAGTGTCACTAAACTCAGGAGATAAATTATTCAAGTTCCTGAACTAGTAACAACAATGTATCTTATTTGTGTATCACTCAGCTGTAGATCCTCAAATCATTTCTGAGGCTAGGTTCACACCTAGGCGACACCTCACCACAGTCAGGAGTCGCCATTATTTTCTAATGACAGCCGCGGGTCGTGTATGACAAAACAAAGGTACTTGTACCTTTTTTCTGCGATTGCAGCGCGGATGTCACCCCATTGAAATGAATGAGGCCACACCGGCAATCAATGCCTGCATTGTACAGGAACGTGCGTAACTGGGACGCATGTCACGGTTGCCGTGGGGTGTAGTGCAGGTGTTACCCTAGCCTGAATTAGTGCTGACACTGTCCTTCCTTCTTTGGGGGGGCACCTTTTGTTCCCCATGGTCCCTGTGTGTGTTGTAAAGTAGTCATCGCTCCAAGCTCGCTCTCAGGATGGACTACAATCCCAATACAAATTAGTAAACTAAACATGAGACTGTAGTCCATCAGGGGAGGGAGCGGTGGCTACTTTACAACATTTCATTTTAACTACTGAATGGCATTGCTTTTTTCTAACAAATAGATGGAGTCGGGCTTTTCTCAGTCTGAATTGGCTAGACTTGTGACAGGTAAACTTAAAAAAAAAAGTTTAGAGATTTTATAATACTGTAGGGGAGGAAAGGGGCAAGATAAAGCGGGGGTCGGCTATGAGAATGCTGGCGATGACGATTACCAGGTTGTCGAGCTCGGGGTCCTCGCTGAAGAACGGTTTGCGCTCCTGTTCCTGCTGGTGGACAAAGTTCTCAATATCCACATCAAAGCTGGCAGATGTAATGCACTCGGATCCCTGTGTGGCCTGCTCACACTTCTCAAACAGCAGCGTCAGGAGGGGGAACAAAGGATGTCTGGAGGGATACAGAACAGGTTTATATTAGTGACCACATCAGAATACCAAACTGTATGAGAAAATACTCAGATACACACAATGACTGATATCTGTGTGTTGTACAGAACACTTTCTGCTGCATTTCAAGGACAACTTTACTGCTACGAGCAGTGTTCTAGATATAAAGTTAAGAAACCTGCTTCCCTTCCTCACTTTATTTCTCTCCATACCAGTCCTCTTTGTTCTTGGATGTTTCCAGACCTCACAACTGGGTTTCATTCCATGTTGTCAAATAGCAGACTTATTGCTACTATGTTTATACCTTCTTAGGTCATTTTCTCTTCCTTCCATCCCAATGATAGTTGTCACTAGGACAGGAAGTGAAAGGAAATCCCAGCAGACAGTGAAGAAAATTTGATAAAGATTAAAGCTGATCTCCTGGAACAACAAGTGAGAAACCTGTACTCCTTACAAAGGATATCCATGGTTAATAAATATGTAATTCTATTTAAAATGTCAAAGTTCTATCCCACTCCTAATAACCAGATCCATCTAGAAGTTTGTAAACTTACTTATTAAAAATGTCTATAGGATGTATTTCCTCAGTGCACTGACACAGTTTTACTCAGCTCTGTATAATCTCCTTTCTTGTGTCACCACTCTCACAGAGCCGGCCTTCTGAACTACAACTGAACGTCTGAACACTGTAACAGCATCACTGCTTGCTGGAAGCAATGCACGATGGGATATGTAGTCTTTAGAAATGGAGATTGCATCACATCAAGCAGCAGGGAAAGAAATATCAAAGCACACTGGGAATCCAGGAAGTTGTTGGAAGTGATGGGCAGACGGAAGGCAGCGCTCGCTACATAAACGGGATTTTTTTAAAGTAAGCTTTGATTGCATTATCAGAGACAACTCCAGTATGCATACTCCTTTGTTCCAGACACCCCTACTGTGCTTTATTGGGCCTTAGTATGCGATGGTGACAACATTGTTAAAAAGGACAAAGCCCTGCATAGTGTGACACTGCCCTGCCTCCTGCTCTTTTGGAACCAGCAGCCCCACCCACTACAGGCTGCCTGCAGAAAACTACAGAAGGGGGTGGTGGCAAACCAGTCACCCTGCACAAGAAGAGAGAGCAGCAGTGACCGGTCTTTATTACATCAGGGGGCAAAGACAAGACCAGTCACCCTGCACAAGGAGAGAGAGCAGCAGTGACCGGTCTTTATTACAGGAGAGGGCGGAGACAAGACCAGTCACCCTGCACAAGGAGAGAGAGCAGCAGTGACCGGTCTTTATTACAGGAGAGGGCGGAGACAAGACCAGTCACCCTGCACAAGGAGAGAGAGCAGCAGTGACCGGTCTTTATTACAGGAGAGGGCGGAGACAAGACCAGTCACCCTGCACAAGGAGAGAGAGCAGCAGTGACCGGTCTTTATTACAGGAGGGGGCGGAGACGAGACCAGTCACCCTGCACAAGGAGAGAGCAGCAGTGAGCTGTCTTTATGACAGGAAGGGGCGGAGACAAGATCAGTCACCCTGCACAAGGAGAGAGAGCAGCGGTGACCGGCCTTTATTACAGGAGGGGGCGGAGAGAAGACCAGTCACCCTGCACAAGGAGAGAGCAGCAGAGACCGGTCTTTATTACAAGAAGCTGCAGCTTTCACACTGGATTACTGCAGAGATCAGGAATAAATCCACGAAGCACACACTTAGATTTAAATGAGAACACAGATGACTTGTATTTAAACAATATTTGCTTATCCCGGAGTTCAGCTTTAACTACAAAGGGATAGGGATCACATGCTGGATAGCAGGAATTAGCCTTTTAACATTTAATTAAGGGGGAAGGGAGTCAGAAATGTTTTAACTACAAAAAACTAAATCTGAAAGGGAATTTTCCTCAGTGGTAAAAGTCCAAATTTGCTTTTGCTTATTTTCAGGGCACCAGAAACAACAATGATGAAGTACAAAGTGCTCCGGCACAAATTGATGGAGTGCAAGGGCGTAATTCAGTGAAATGAGTCCAAACAGGTTCTAAAGTTGAATTGGTAGTTGCTGTTATGGGTTAATGCAATCTGTGCACACTGCTCTGTTCCGTACCGTAGGAGCCCAGTTAGCGGATTCCTCCTCTGCTTCGCTGCGAAGTCCTGGAGCTGAAAGGGTTAACTGGCTTGCGGAGTCTAATTTGCAGGCTCTAATGCTGCATCATATTATAGTGTAATCTACGCTGATCCCAGTTTAATGCAGGGTTCTGCGTCCGCAGCACAGAATATAAAGCAAAGCCTTGCCTGCCGTAATTTAGGCAGCCCTGCAGGAGCTTAGCCCTGGGATATGAAAGACAAATTCCAGACTGTGTTATGAATTATTGCGCCTTATGAACCTTCCAACTCTCAACAGATGCCTCCTGCCATTTAAACAGCCACTAGATCAATTAAAAATGAAAAGGCACAAATCGACCCAGCGCAAGGGCACTAAATTACCAGGAACTAATAATCCAAGCAAGCAACCATGCCAGGTGGTGGGAGTTCAGCAGCACCGCCC